AATAATAATAAAATAAAAAATTAATAATGAAAATAATAATAAAAATAAAAAAATTAATAATAAAAATAATAATAAAAATAAAATTAATAACAATCGAAGTGCTTTGATTGTTATTAATATAATTAAATACCTACATACATTTTTGAATTTTTTTTAATAATTATTAAATTAAATTTAATGGATTTAATGAATTTTTTAATAATAATAATTTTAAACAGATTTTTTGGGTTTTTTTTTGGGAGGGGGGGTTTTGAATAAAAAGTTGTGTGCGTATAAGTATAATTTATAATATAAAGTTGGGTATATATACACGTGGATAATAATAAAATTATTTTATGAATGTGGGCGTCTGTGTGTGTAAAGTATCTGTTTGACAATGTTGCTGGAGGGTCAATGAATACTAACTTATTTACAATTATCGATATCAAAGCGAAACACCGACTAGTCTCAAGTTACAGTGATCGCGTGATATCGAAACTTACACGCATACAAACAAAACTTCGCTTCTTAGCGGAGAAATTTTATCTCATTAATTCCGCACGATTTAATTCGAAAACGAGCTTTACGCGATTTAAAGGGACTCGACAATTTTTTTTTTCATTTAAATTAACTTCAGAATTTGCTACTAAAATTCATTTTTTATATTTTGGTAAAATTTATTTTTTTCTTTTTTATATTCAAATTATGTTTTATTAAAAGTTATTTTTTTCTTTCTATTAAAATTATATTTTTATTAAAATTTTTTTTCCTTTTCTATTAAAATTTATTTTTTTTATTACAATTTCTGTTTTATCTAAATTTCTGTTTTGTCAAAATTTACATTTTTGAACTTTTTTTCAATTTTTGTTAAAATTTCATAAATAATAAACAATTTTCAAAGAAATTCAATTATTTAAAATACAATTTTCATAAAATTTTCTGAAAGAATTCAATTATTTTCATAAATAATAAACAATTTTCAAAGAAATTCAATTATTTAAAATACAATTTTCATAAAATTTTTTGAAAGAATTCAATTATTTTCATAAATAGATTCAATTTTCAAAGAAATTCATTTTTTTAAAAAGTTTTTTTTAAAATTCTTCTCAAGAATGCAATTATTTAAAAAACTTTATTGAAGTTCGATGACAAAAATTCAATTATTTTCATAAATTAATAATAAAACTCATCGCGGGATTTTAATTATTTTTAATATAATTTTCAATTAATTTCGATAAAACCACAATTATTTTTAAAATTTTATATAAAATTCTTCGAAAAAATGCAATTATTTATTATTTTCAATTCATTTTTATTTACATTTCTTGAATGAATTTAATTTATAAATTTCAACAAAAAAAAAAAAAAAAAATGATTGATTTTTGAAAGAACGTGTGTGTGTGGATTATTATCGATAATAAGTGAAGAAAAACGTAAAGTAAATTTTACTATACTTTCATAGTAAAATCTGTACTGTATGTAATTTTCCTCCACTTTTACTGTAAATTTTACTATACCTACTCGAAATATTTTAATACCAATTTCAGTTGAAAAATTAGTAAAATTTACATTGAACTTGAATTTACTTGAAAAAATTGTAAATTACAATTTTTTTAGTGAGTTGATATTTTTTTCTCCTCCGTTATAAAAAATATTGCCGATATATCAAAAAAAAAAAAATTGTTAAAACGATGACATTGATTTTTCATTTAAAAGTCTTTTTATACGTACATTTGTTTCAATTGCGTATTTAAATGTAATCGGATTTAATTAGATTTAAATTATAGTTTAGTTTATTTTTTTTCTTTTTTCCTTTTTTTATTGTTCTTTTTTTTCAAATATTTTATCAATTTACAGATAAAATAGAGAATTAATATTTAACCTTGATATAGTAATGTGTAATCTTTTAAATCTTTTAATGATTAACAGAAAAAAGTCAAATTTTTAATTAACTAGAATCTAAATTCTAATTAGTGGGTGGAATTTTCTTTTTTAAATCAGCTAATATTTAGTTAAAACGATAATTAATTGATAGAAGCGATAAATGTTGCGGTAAATAAAGTTGGGATTATAAAAAAGAAATATTTTTTTCTCTTGTAAAGTAGAAAATAATTCGAATTCGATTTTGGATTTAGAAAATTCGTATTCGATTTTGAATTCAGAAAATTTGTATTCGATTTTGAATTTAGAAAATTCAAATTCGATTTTAAATTTAGAAATAAATTTGTATTCGATTTCGAATTTAGAAAATTCAAATTCGATTTTGAATTTAGAAAATGAAAATTTTCAGATATTAAGGGGAGAAAAATATTTTTCAATTGGCGCAAAATTGTTTTTAAATAATTGTTTAATTGAATAAAATATGTAGTTGAAAGTTATTCAATTACGTGGGTTTTGATTTCAGTTGCGAATAAGTGGGTGCGAGAGTTAAAACTTGTTTTAAAAATAGTATTGAAATTATTCACAATATTTTGTAACGTATAGATGTTTTTGTAAATTAATGTAAATTAATTACTATGTGTAATTAAGTTTACTATCTAGTATTTTTTTAATTTCTTTATTTGTAATTTCTCTTTTTTTCTTTTTTTCTTTGTTTTCGTTTCCTTTTTTTTCATTTCCTCTTTTCTTTTTTTATTTTCTTTTTTCCCTTTTTTTCTTTGTTTTCATTTCCTTTTTTTCATTTCCTCTTTTCTTTTTTTATTTTCTTTTTTTCCTTTTTTTCTTTATTTTCATTCATTGTTTTGATTTCCTTTTTTCTTTTTTTCTCTTTGTTTTTTCCTAATTTTTTTTTCCTCTTTGGAGAAAAAGAAGAAAAAGAAAGCAAATTAAAAAAATTGATAAGGAAATGATGAATGGAACGAAAAGAAACATTGGTAATAAATTTTCTCATTAAAAAATTAAAAAATGTGAAATTGTTGATATTTTCAATTATTTTCCTTATTTGTTAATTAAACCGTCCCTGTATATAAGTAAACGAGGAGAATAATAAGTGGGGATGTCGCCACTACCAAAGGCGCCAACTCAAGAACTTTTTCCAAATCGTCATGCCGGTTAAAGGTACCAAGACATGTTTCAACAACCTACGGAGTTGAGTTTCAGTCAGTTCCAGTCAGTCCTTCGCAGTCCCTCGTTGTGTGTTTCAAACAAGACTGAGATTCTTTGCTAAATTTATTCCTCCGAAAAGTGCACAAATTTTTTTCCCCCTTTTTTTTAAATTAAAAGGTTTGATTATTTTTCCAACATTCAATTTATTCATTTTTAATTTTTTTTTCGTCAATTTAATTTCAATTTCGTGTGGAATTAAATCATTTACGAAAATTATGACAGCGCCGGAAAACTTGTGTTTTTTTTAAGATCCGAAATTTAAATTTGATTTTAAATAATATAATTAATAATAAATAATAAAATAACAAAATTTAAATAATAAATAATAAAATAACGAAATTTAAATAATAAATAATTAACAATAAATAATTTATTAACAAAATTTAAATATTACAAATAATAAAAATTCTTAGTAAAAATAAGAATAGTAAATTCATAGTAAAAATTCTTGGTGTGAATATAGAAACTAATACAATAAATTCTGGAAAATATAAATTTTGAATATTAAAAAATTAAAAATACTTAATTGGAAAATTTTAATAGATTAAAATTATCAAAAAAAATGGGAAATTTCTAATACGTTTATTGATTATTTATAAACATTTCATTGCGATAAGTTCAAGGTTTTTTTTCATACATATTATAGTGTATCGGAGATTTTTATATTAAAAGAATGAAAAGAAAAAAACGTAAATTCTCGTATGGTTAGGCGCCATCAGTAAACACTCGGGCGCGAGTATGTATGCAATGAAATAAAAATAAACTGGCATAGTAATTAGTTAGTCATGGAATTTTAATGCAAAAACTCGACTAGAACTTGCAATGGGAATTCAATTATGATTTCAATTATAATAATAATAATAATAATAATAATTTTTATCACCTGGAAAAATTGTCGTTGAAATTAAAAAAATTATAGTTACAATTTTCACATTTCAAAATATTTTCGTTTCAATTTTTTATTAGGAAAATTAAAAAGTTACTAAAAATTTTAATCAAATGTTTGTAAGAAAATTAATAGTAAAATAATATTTAATAATATTTAATAATATTTAATAATATTAAAAATTTCCTATCTAAAAATATTTCTATAAAACAAAACGTATTACTTGTTCATTTATTTATTTAATGCACAAGTTTAGTATTTTATTATTATTGTTATATTGATGACTGAAATGACACGCGTATGAAAAGTTCTCTAGCCGAACCGGAAATCCCATTATTAATTTAATATAAAAAACAAAAATTACACGGAAAAAAAATTTATTTGATAGTAGACAAATAATCGGTTATTTGAATCAAATAATAAAGTTTTTTTTCAGTGTATAATAAGTTTTACAAAAATTTTTAAAATGATAAATTATAAAATTGGAATTATAAATTATAAAATTAAATTTTTATAAAAAATTATATTTCCTCAAAAGTATAAAATTATTTATTGACAATTATTTCACTTTCAATGAGAATTAGAAAAGCAATCAACAATAATTTTAATTTTTTTTTTAAATAAAGTAAAGTTTTTAATTTACCTTTTTTCTTGAAATAAAAAAATATTTTCAAAAAATATTAAAAACTTTGTATATAAAAAAATATTTCTAAAAATGAAATATTATTTTTCATTAAAAAAAAATTAATTTTAATTATAGTGTAGATAATAATTATTAATTTTAATAATGATAAAAATTTCAATGTAATAATATTAATAATTTTAATTATTTTAATTATTTTAATTATTTTAATAAATTATGAATAAATATTATGAATAAATAAATAAATAAATATTATTACATTGGAAAAATTTTAATTAATTTTAATCTTAACTCCCATTGGAGAGAGGGAGGGGAGAAAGTTATTAATTATTGAAATTGTTATGTTATAAAGTATTATTTTAAGAACAAATAATTTTTTTATTGCAGATCATAAGTACTGTCGATAGAGACATTAAAATTTACAAATTACTAATTTTTTTATTATAAATAAACAAAATGGCATACGACGATGTTATACTTCGAATGGGCGAATTTGGCCGCTATCAACGTAGAATTTATTTGTTACTATGTCTTCCTGCAATTATTTGTGCTTTCCACAAAATGGGAGGAGTTTTTCTTGGCAGTAAACCCGACACAAGGTAAATTTTTTTTAATTAATTAAAATTTAAAGTATAAAAAAAAATTAATAAATAAAATATCAGAAAAATTTTGTTTCAAACAAATAAAATTTGCTTCCACAAAATAAAATTTATTTGAAACTATTAATATTTTTTTCAGACGAATAAAATTGATTTGAAACAAAATTTTATTTTTTTAAACAAATAAAATTTATTACAAATAAGATGTTTCTGGCTTTTTAAAATTTAAATAATCAAATAAAATTTATTTACAACAAATAAAATTGATTTGAAACAAATAAAATTTATTTTAACAAAAAAAAAAATTTATTTTAAACAAAACAAATTTATTTCTATAACAAATTAAATTGATTTGAAACAATTAAAATTGATTTGAAAAAAATAAAATTTATTTCCAACAAATAAAATTGATTTTAAATGGAAAATTGAATCGAAACAAAATTTTATTTGTTTTAAACAAATAAAATTGATTTTAAATTAAAAATTGAATCGAAACAAAATTTTATTCGTTTTAAACAAATAAAATTGTTTTTTAACAAATAAAATTTATTTCAAATGAATAAAATTGTTTTAAACAAGTATCATTTATTTAAAAGAAATAAAATTTATTTCCAACAAATAAAATTGATTCAAAACAAATAAAATTTATTTCTAATGAATAAAATTGTTTTAAAATAAATAAAATTTGTTTTAAACAAGTATCATTTATTTAAAACAAATAAAATTGATTTGAAATAAATAAAATTTATATTGAAACGAATAAAATGTTCAGTTGGTTCTGAGTCAAAAATATCGTTTTCCTTATGGCTTTTTTTCATCAATAAAATTGAATAACAGTAAAATTATATTTTTGATTAGTAAAATTAAATTAAAATTGTTTGGAATAGAAATTTGAATCAATTAATTTTTGTACTGCTAATTAAAATAAATAAATAATTAATAATTGTTGTAAAATTTTCAGGTGTCTTCTTCCAGTAGAAAGTCAGTCAAATGCAACATTCATATTGCCAGAAAATTATGTGAATGTGAGTTATCCAATGGAGGAAACAATAATTGGCGTTAAGAAAATAAAACCGTCACAATGCAAAATGTATGATATTAATATTCCACCGTCTGTGACGACATTGGACCAATATGCTTTATTTGCTGCAAATAATCCCCGAAATGTTGTCATACCATGTGACACTTTCGTTTATGACAAGAGTAGATTTACTCGAACAGTAGTGACTCAGGTGAGAAAAATTTTCATTTTACTTTCAAATTCGTTAATTATTACTCTCAATCGATTAACGATTATTCAAAATTATTCAAAATTATTTAAAATTATTCAAAATATTTTCACAAAAATACTGATTCGCAGAAAAATTTTGTACCTAAAACAGCTGCAAATTTTGCTACAATAGCAAAAAATTTATTTTCGCTAAAGTTTATTTTTTCTATTTTATCGAAATATATTTTCGCTATTCTAGAGAAATTTATCGCTGTTCCAGGTTTTTTCGTGTTGAATAAAAACCGAAAACTTAAATTTTACAAGTAAATATTTTTGTTGCTTCTAAATTGTTGTCAATATAGACAAAAATAATTTTCTATCAACTGACCGAGATAAATTTTGAGTTAATTGAAAATTGACCATAATATTAAAATTATAGTCTCGCAATTTTTTCGAAATCGACCTAATTCAGATTATTTTAGATAAAAAATGGCTATCGATAAACGGAAAACTCAACTTTGAAAACTATATTGACGAAAAGTAAGATTGAATTTTAGTTTTCAAAGGGGAAATAAAGTAAAATAAAAATTGGAATTTAATTAAGAATTTTGATTTTTTTTTTTAGTGGAATTTAGTTTGTGATGAATCCTGGTTAGTATCATTTGGAGATTCTTTATTTATGGTAGGTGTTATGCTTGGTTCGATAATATTTGGTTACTTGTCGGACAAATATGGACGTAGACCAATATTCTTTATGTCATTGGTCATTCAACTTGTGAGTGGTACTGTCGTTGGTCTTGCACCAAATTTTATCACCTACGTCATCTTCAGGGCAATTATTGGCTCAACGACAAGTGGCGTCTTCCTGGTCGCCTATGTCATTGGTAAAAAATATTGTTTATTTTTTTAATACAATAACATGGTTGCCACAAAAATTTAATTTTTTCTTTCCTTGGAATTTTTCCTGATTTTGAAAAAAAAATTTTGATTTTTTTCCTAGACAGTAAAAGAATATTTTGATTCACTCTAAAAATTATTAGATACTAAAAAAAAAGTTCTATTACATTTATTTACGAATTTCTGAAATTGGAAAATTATTCGAAAATATGCTGATGTTTTCGAATAATTTTCGAAATTTCTTTTTTAAATAAATATTTAATCGTTATTATTTTTCCATAGGAATTAAAATTCTTAAAAATATTCCAATTCAAACGTTTTTTGAATTCAAAAATTTATAATTAATTAAAGATGATCAAATTATTATTTTATATTATAAGAATATTGTTAGTGTAACTTTTTCAAAAATATTTTCATCAGTTAAATTCAATTCTCATTTTCTAGAATTTTTAATTAAAATTTAACTAAAATTCTTCTTTAAATCAATTATTTTTAATAATTTTTAAAAGAGTTCTTTTTCAGAATTTTCAAATTCATTTCTTTACAATTCCATTTTACGTAAAATTTCAATTATTAGGAAATTCTTCAATTCATATTAGAAAATAAAAGCTCCAAATAATTTTAAAAAAAAATTCAATTAAACTTTTTAAAAAAAATTATGTAATTCTACAGAATTGTTAGTGAAAAGTATGAAAAATTCAGATTTCCAAAGATTTTAATTTGAAAACTTTTCAAAATTCAATTATTTAAAATTTTACTTATAATATTTATTTTTAAATCAATTTTTATTAAAAAATTCTACGAGAATTCAATTATTTAAGTACAAACATAAATATTTAATTGAATACTTATGTAATTTTTTTTTTAATTGAAATTTCATAAAGAATTCTATCAATAAATTTTTAAATATTTAAATCTTTTAGAATAATTAAAATCCAGAGAAGGATTTTATTATTTATAAAGATCATTCAAATTTTGACTAAAATTATTAAAAATTTTTGAACATAATTGAATATCTGCGAAGAATTTTATTACTTTTGAAAATAATTGAATTTATGCAATCATTTGTAACTTTTCTCCAAAATTCAATTATTTTTGTGTTTTTAACTAAAATTCCTATTTAAATCAATTTTTATTAGAAAATTTTACTATAATAATAATTGAATTATTGCGAAGAATGTTTTTTAATTTTTTTAAATAATTGAATTCCTGTAAACAAATTTAATTATTTATAAAAATAATTGAATTTCTGTAAAAAATTTAATTATTTATGAAAATAATTGAATTATTGCGAAGAAATTTATAAAAAAAATTTGTAAATAATTGAATTTTTGCCAAGAATTTTATTGAAATTTTTAAGAATAATTAAAATCCAGAGAAGTATTTTATTATTTATAAAGATAATTGAAATTTTGACTAAAATTATTAAAAAATTTTGAACAGAATTGAATTTTAGCGAAGAATTTTATTATTTTTGAAAATAATTGAATTTATGCAATCATTTGCAACTTTTCTCTAAAATTAAATTATTTTAGTGTTTTTAACTAATAAATGCCTATTTAAATCAATTTTTATTATGAAATTTTACTAGAATAATAATTTAATTATTGCGAAGAATATTTATTAATTTTTTTAAATAATTGAATTTCTGTGAAAAATTTTAATAATTAAAAAATAATTGAATTCTGGCAAAGGATTTTGTTGAAATTTTTGTAACTATTTGAATTCTTTTAAAGAATTTTATGAATATTTAAAGTCAATTATTTGGAATAATGTAATTAAAATTAAAATCGTATTAAAAAGAATTGAAATTTTGCGATTATTTTTTAAAATAGTTGAATTCCAAAAAAGAATTTTATTATTTATGAAAATAATTGAAATTATTGCAATGAAATTAAATTTCTGTGAAATTTTTATTATTTATGAAAATAATAATTAAAATTTATGAGTCAAACAAAAAAGACACCAAAATTTAGAATTTTCTTATGAATTCTAAAAATTTAATTCTTTCCAGTATTTTTAATAAAAATCCCTGACTTTTTCCTGATTTTCTTGACTAATTCTACTTTCCCTGATTTTTCCCCGAATTTCCTGAATTTTCTGAACTGTGGCAACCCTGAATACTATTTTATTAACATACAAAATTCGCATTTGGGAAGAAATTATTTTTTTTATTTATTTGTTTATTTTTTAAAACTGAAGAAAGGGCTCAACTCAAAAGGAATTTATTTGAGCTTAAATTTCATTTTCATTAGTAATGAAAATAATTATTACGGTTTTCAGAGTTGACTTCATTGAATCCTTTTCGAAATTCAATTTTAAATTTAGTTTATTAGGAAGAAAATTTGTTTCCTAAATATTTTGGGTTTTTTGTTCCAGCACTCGAGATGGTTGGTCCAAAGAAAAGATTAATAGCCGGTGTTGGTTGTCAATTATTCTTCACTTTTGGTTTTATATTGACTGCCGGCTTTGCTTATTTCATTAGAGACTGGCAAATGCTACAGATTGCTCTCACTCTTCCGAATATATTATTTTTAGCATACTGGTGGTATGTATTTAAAGAAAATGATGATGAAATTTGTATAAACAATTTGGAAAAGTGAATAACAATTTTCGTCTTTATATTTTAGGTTCATTCCAGAATCGGCTCGCTGGTTATTGACAAAAGGACAGACAAAAGCCGCCAAAGAATTATTGCAGAAGGCATCGAAGGAAAATGGAATTGAGATTATGGACGAAACATTGGAAGTACTTTTACATGATGGCAATGAGGGTTCAACTCCAGATGTCAATGAACCTTCTTTAATTGATTTGTTTCGATATCCGAATCTCAGGCGAAAGAGTTTCCTTTTATTTTTCAATTGGTGAGAGAGATTTTTCTCATTTTCTCGATAGAAATTTTAATTATTCGATTCTTTCAATTATTATTATTTGTTTTAACAAATCATTTCTCAATTATAAATTACAACATGTAGTCTTTGATTTTTCTACAAAGAATTATTATTTATTCTTTGATATAATCAGAATTCTTGATAACCAAATTTTTGATGACTATTTTCGGTAATATTTTTTTATGACTATTTTTGGTAACAATTTTTTAGTGACTATTTTTGGTAACAATTTTTTAATGACTTTTTTTGGTGACAATTTTTTAATGACTGTTTTTGGTGACAATTGTTTTGATGAATTTTTGTTTTTGCAGGTTTATAAACAGCGGAGCGTACTATGGCCTTTCATGGGCTTCGTCAAAACTTAGTGACAATGAATTTGTCACTTTTGCTCTATCCGGAGCTGTGGAAGTACCTGCTTATTTATTTCTTATATTTACATTAAATAAATGGGGTAGAAAAGTCATTTTGTGCGGATGTATGATTGCCTCAGGAGTATTTCTAGTTGCCACTCCTCTAGTTCCTGCAGGTAATTTTAACAGAAACGAAAAATCGGTAAATTCGGCTAATTCGACTTTTTTATGTTGTTAATACATAAAGTAAATTAAAATTAAATTAAATAAAATTAAATTAGGTAAAGTATAATCAATTGATTTGCTTTTAGGATTGGACTGGCTGACTATCACGTTCGTCATGATCGCCAAGTTTGCGATCACAGCCTCTTATGGTGCTATTTATGTGTTCACTGCCGAACAATTCCCAACAGTTGTACGGAATGTTGGCCTCGGAGCAAGTTCTACATTCGCGAGAGTCGGAGGTATTATTGCACCCTTCATTAATCATCTTGTAAGTTAAAAAAACATTTTCACACACTTAACCAAAAAAAAAAAAAAAAAAAAGAATTGAGAAAATTGACGAAAAATTTATTTTCCCCGCAGGATGAAATTTGGTTCCCCCTACCGAATCTTATTTACGGCGGAGCCGTTTTATTCGCCGGACTATTGTCACTTTTGTTGCCAGAAACACTTAACAAAAAATTACCCGAATCCATTCAAGACGGAGAACAATTCGGAATGTAAGTTATTTTTCTCCCTTTCTTTCTTTATTAATAAAACTATAGCAAATTTCATTTATTTATTTTAAATTTCATTTTTTAATTTATAAAATTGTAAATTAAAAATTTAATTTACAAAATTGTAAATTAAAGAACTTCATATTTTCAAGAATAAACATCAATTTTTTAATGATTACAGATTTAAAATTTAAACAATTCACTTATTAAATATTATTATTAATTTTATTAATTTATATTATTTATAATATTAATATAATATAATATTAATATTAATTTTATTAATTCAATCATTTTCAATACAATTTTAATAAAATTTCTCGAAAGATAACAATTATTTTTAAAAATATTAATTATATTCAATTATTTTCAAGAATTTAAATATATAAATTAAATTATTTTCAACAATTTGATGAAATTCTTCTAAAAAAATCATTAATTTCAAAATTTTTAATAAAATTCCTTCAAAAAATTAAATTATTTTAAAAAATTATTGAGATAAAATTCTACGAAACAATTCAATTATTTTTATGAATTGTAAAATTCGCCAGAAGAATTTAATTATTTTCATAAATAAGAAAATTCTTCGCAAGAATTAAAATATTTTCATATAAATAATAAAATTCTACAAAGGAATTCAATTATTTTTAAAAATATTATTTAAATTCTATTATTTTCAAAAATTTTGATAAAATAAAATTTCATTAAAAGTTTTTTAAATAATAGAACTTCTGTGAAAAATTCAATTATTTTTTAAAATAATTGAATTTTCTTGGTGTTTTTTTACAAGATTTTTAAAAATAATTAAAATTCTGTGATTATTTATGAAAATAATTGAATTCCTAAAAAGAATTTTACTATTATTTATGAAAATAATTAAATTTTTTCGAAGATTTTATTACATTTTTTTAAATAATTGAATTCTTGGAAAAAATTTTATTATTTATAAAAATAATTTAAGTCTTGTGAAGGATTTTATTAAAAATTGAAAGGAACAATTCAATTATTTCTAATAATTTCATTAAAATTGTATTAAAATTAATTGAATTATTTTATTAAAGTGTTGATGAAATTCTTGACATGAATTCAATTATACTTTCAATGATTTTTAGATAAATATTTTGCTAGAATTCAATGATTAATTAAAAAATTTTAAACATTTAAAAAGGAAAATTATTTAAAAAGTTAGGAAACAAAAAAGCAAACAGCATTCTAGATGAATAAAAATTAATCACAATTTTTGCCATTACAGGAAAAAGAAGAAGCAAAAGAAGATAAAAAAGGTTCTTGATTTAAACGACATATCACTAAAATCGGAAAAAACGAAAGAAAATGGTATTTACGAGAAATAATTTCTTTTCTGATAAATAGTTAATATTTTTATCAACGATGAAAAATTCGGCTATGCTCAAAGTATTTTACTGCATTCCTGTCACTGACAAAATTTGCTTTATAGAGAGGAAAAAAAAAAAATGTACAAATTCTGTGAATAGGAAAATGTGCCAAGCCATAATGTGCCAAGTCATAATAATTAATAATAGAACGTCATTACACAATCGATTTTTTTAACATTTAAAATTTTATTTTTTAAACTAAAAAATTTACTTTGCGCAAAAAAAAGAAAATCACAACTCCGACATATCGTTTAGAAATAATTCCTATTGGACGAAAATCGAATAATTATTTTTTCGTTCTTTGGATTGAATTTTGATTAATTTTTCTATTTAATAATTTTTTTTTGAGAAATGATCCTTTTTTTAAAGGATTTTTTAAAAGAATTTTTAAACGATTTTTTAAAGGATTTTTAAAGGATCATTTTCTTTTAAAAGGAAATTAAAATTTTTCTTTTGTCCAATGGGAATATTCGTACACCAGATACCGGAAAGTATTTTTACAAATGTATTCGCAAAGAAGGAAGAAAAAAAAGTGTACGTGTGTTTATACTCTCGAGAGATAAGATATCGAAAAGTAATTAGAAATTATTTTTTTTTCTAATAAAAACAGAACATCTCGCTCTCTAGTTACTAATATTTATTGTGATTTTTTTTCTTCAAGAGACGCGAGAATTAATTTTCTTAAGACAATGAAAATATTGTTTTTGTAAATCCGTTAATGTGAAAACCTTTTTTTAAAAATGAATTAATTTATTGAAAAATGATTACTATTGATCAAAATTATCGTACTATTAACCTACGGTTTCTTAATAGTTTTTTTGGAATTATTTTTATTTTTTATACATTGAATTTTTGTCTTATAAGCAAAAATGTGAAATGTGAACTATTTTATTGTCTTATTGCATTATTTAAAAAAAGTATTTTTTCTAGGATACGATTAACATTTAAGCTAAATAGGTTTATACACACGCATTATAATCATTATCATTAATGTCGTGTGATCATTTCTCTTTTTTCTGACATTCGAATGTATTTTATTTTTAATGATGCGATAAGAGAATTTTCAGTGAATAGTAAATTAATAAACTATTTCATGCCTTCAATATATACACACCATATATGTATAGATATTTTATGCTATATGTATTGTAAAAAAAAGAAAAAATATTTTTGAAATTATTTTCCCATGGAGAATAAAAAAATAATAAAAGGCATTAAAGAAAATGTGTATGAATTTTGGATTTTATTCCCAAGTGCGATAATCGAAATAATCTGACTCACCTTTTGTTTTGTAGATATTAATTTATCATTTTTTATTTCATTTTAACGATCTTAACCTTACTTTTAGTTTGATGATAAATTTCATAAATTTTCAATAAAAGGAAAGTTCTTGTTTACGAATTCTTTCGATTTCTTGTGAGATAACACATTTTTTTCACTACTAAAATTAGAGATAATCGGAAACGAAATCAAACAAATTAGTAAAAACCGTAGAAACCGTAAAGCTTAAAGAAAAAATCGGTTAACTGTCACGTGTGTCAAATTGGCGCCTTTCTCCTCTAAACGAACTTGACACACCGTCAGCCGCCAGAGTGCGCTGAACAATCGACGAAAGACAACAGTTCATCGGAATTTTTTTGTGAGAAAAAATTTTGTTTTTGATAAGTGTTGATCTGGTTTTTTAACGAAAAAAAAGACAATCGTCAATATGATTCCAACTTGTTTAAGAACGTGCAGTGGACAAGCGTCTCGGAGAAATGTAAGTAGAATAATTTTATCTTAGCGAAAATTATTGAAGATCAAGAAAATGACCTCTGTGGGTCTTTGCCATATTTGTCATCCCTGCTTCTTTCTAGATTTTCTCTAATCTCTAATTATTATTTATCTCATTGCACGATGTTATTTCAATTTCTCTTGATTTTTAATTGAAACCTTTTTTTTTCTTTGTCCCGGTCGCGAGTCAGTACGGGAGCTGGAACGAGGTAAATATATGTTTCAAGGTTAACCTCCTGTGCTGCTAACATAATTTCTTACGTATTAGAATTATTCACTTCCCCTCTTTTTATTTCTAAAATATTCAACAAAATTTAAATTCACATTTTGCTTTTAAAAAACAAACACTTGCACGCTTTCGTTTATAAATGTTTAAAAAAATTTCTGTTTTTCTTTTTGGGCAACATAACCTCAAATTTGACATTTTGTTTCTTTTACACTCCGAATGCTCCGAAATTATTTACAATTATTTATAATTATGGTTATATTATATCGTTTAAATATAACGAAAATAGAATTAGAAATTATAAAAGAAACTTTTCATTGAAAATTTGGAGAAATGGAAAGGCATATTTTGTTTATTTTGCTTTTTTTCTCTCTGGGGGAAAAAATTCTTTTGCGTTGAAATTGTTCGTTTTTTCTTCTAGATAGCGTCTTTTTTCAAGAAAAATAATTATGCCACAGAAGTATCATTCGAAACGAAACCATTCCGTTTGCATAAATTGGAAAAAGGTCCGTCGACAAAAGTTTCCATTAATAAAGAAGATGCGATGACGATGTATACACAATTGCACACGATTAGGAGGCTGGAAACAGCGGCTGGTAATCTTTATAAGGAGAAAATCGTTCGTGGATTTTGTCATTTATACTCGGGTCAGGTAAGATAGGCATTTCATTATTTTCAATATTCAGTATTCAATATTTCAATAATTTTTGAATTTATTAACAGGGTTGCCACAGGTTTTCAATTAATTATTAAAAATAATGAATTTAAAGGGAAACTTTAGTTAAAAACACTTTCAAAAATTTAATTTTGGAAAAGTTACAAATTATTACAGAATTCAATTATTTTCAGAAGTAATCAAATTCTTCACAAAAAGTCAATTATTATATTCTAAAATTTTTTTAAATTCTCGTCAAAATTTCAATTATTTTTATAATTAATCAAATTCTTCGGAGAAATTCAATTATTTTGTAAATTTTGGTAAAATTCTTTATAAGAATTCACTTACTTTTAATAAAATTTTAATAAAATTGTTACTAAGAAAGACAAAATTAAATTTTTGTGGTAACCCTGATGAAAATTATGATTTTATTTATGATATTTCGATTGTTTGGATTTAGAAATTTTAGTTTAGATGTAATTTTTGTTGTCAAATAAATCCATGATCTTAGTAAAATCATTAGTAATGATTTTATTGTTTACATAATTTTTGTTTTTTTCTTGTAGGAAGCTGTTGCCGTTGGAATAATGGGAGCTCTTCGAAAAAATAAGGATTCGGTTATTACCGCATATCGTGCTCACGGTTGGACTTATTTAATGGGTGTTAAACCAGCGGCTGTTTTAGCCGAACTCACAGGCAAACAAAGTGGTTCCTCACATGGAAAAGGAGGATCTATGCATCTTTATGCCGAAAGATTCTACGGAGGAAATGGTATTGTCGGCGCTCAGGTAAATTTAATTCCCCTCTTGAATTTCCAAAAAAAAATCTGTAAATCGTTTGCATTAATTTATTTTTTTCCCACAGGTACCTCTGGGTGTTGGTGTTGCGTTCGCACACAAATACAAAAAAGACGGAGGTGTTTGCGTCGCTCTCTATGGCGACGGTGCTGCGAATCAAGGGCAAATATTCGAGGTTTACAATATGGCGAAACTTTGGGACGTTCCATGCATTTTTGTTTGTGAAAATAATGGCTATGGAATGGGAACTAGTGTAGAACGATCGTCAGCGAGCACTGAGTATTATACTCGTGGGGATTACGTTCCTGGAATTTGGGTAAATTTTCTCCTGTTTAGAAAAATATCTTTTTCTAAATTTCTCCTTTTCTTTTATTTTATAAATTGTTTTGTTTTTTTTTTACAGGTTGATGGTATGGACGTTTTGGCAGTACGTGAAGCGACAAGATTTGCGGTGGATCATTGCACTTCTGGAAAAGGACCAATTGTGATGGAGACGGCAACTTATAGGTACAGTGGACACAGTATGTCCGATCCTGGAACGAGTTATCGTACCCGAGAGGAAATTCAAGAAGTGAGACAAACCCGAGATCCCATCACCGGTTTCAAGGACAAAATTCTCAGCGCCAATCTCGTCACTGCCGAAGAATTAAAGGTTCGATTCAGTCTTGTTCATTTTTTTTTGTTTTTAAATCCTTAAAAATGGAAAATTTGATTTAAATTTTCAATTTCTAAGGATTTTTGAATAAAGAATAAATTTAAATATAAATTTTAGTTAAAAACAATAAAATAATTAAATTTTTTGAGAAAAGTTAAATTTTTAAATTAAGTGTAGAAATAAAAAAAAATATACCAAAGAATGTATTTTATTTACAGAAAGTCGAGACGGAAATTCGCAAGGAAATCGATGAAGCTGTTAAATTGTCGAAATCTGATAAAGAAGCTCCTTTGTCGGAGGTTACATCTGACGTTTACGCTGAGAATTTAGAACCAGAAATTCGCAATGTCACTCCATTCAATCCATTGAAACACAATACAACAAGACGTCCAGTCAATCTTTGAATGAACAATTAACTCCAAAGATTTTAATTAAAAAATCGGTGTCTGACTACCGGTTTTTCGAATTTTTCTAATACGTGCACCATCGTGTATATTTGACAAGAACCAAATGAAAAAAACAGAGGATTTGTAATAATAGCCTTATTCTAGATCAATTATCCGAATCTCGACCATTATTTCCCAATTTTCTTTTAATTTCAAAATTCAAATTTAATTTGAATTCATTTGAAATTCAGTTATTGAATAATTAATTTAAATTAAATAATTAATAAAAGTAATTTAAATTCAATTTCATTTCAAAGAAATTAAGAAACTAAAATTGGACTTGAGAAATTGAGTGTCTTATTGACAAATCGTATTCTTAACGAAAACTGAAGATTTTAATTCAGATTTCTTGCAACGAATAAAATTGAAATTTGGACTAAAGTGTCTAAATTTCAGAATATTGTAGTCGAGTTTTCGTTGCTTAGTAGAAGAAAGTAAAAAAGAAAACAAAAACCTCTGCGGAAATAATGTTCAAGTTTAGCCAATTCACTGTTAATTTATTTTTAAACAATTTAGCAAAATTGTGATTGCGAATTCGATTACTGTATAATATAGACATACGTATTGCAGAAGAATTTCTGTAGCAGGATAATATTTGTCACTGTAAAATGTAAAATCGATTCGTGAACACTTGTTATGACATCTTGGTCTTTACGAGAATATGCTGTTAATATTATATAGTTAGCGAAATAAAAAAAATTCTTAGAGAATTATGGGATTATTCTTCTTTAATCTTTTTGGAAAAAACAAACTAAAATTTTTCATTAACTGGTCAATTTATAACTTTGGTTTAAATGGTCCAAACCATTTAAATTTAAATACTTTTTAAATAATATTTAATAGTAAATTTATTATTTTTAATTTCATTTAGTTAAATTGATGATTTTTTATTTAAACTATTTTTATTCCTTTTTATTATTATAATAAATTATTGTGAAAATCATTGAATTCTTGCGAAGAATTTTATCAAAAAATCTGATAATAATAGAATTCTTTCGAAGAATTTTATTATTTAGGAAAATAATTGAATTCTCGCGAAAGAATTTTGTTAAAAATTTTAAAAAATTCCAATTAAATTCTTTTTGAAGAATTTTATTATTTATTTATTATTATTATTTTATTATTTAGGACAATAATTTAATTCTCGCGAAGAACTTTGTTATAATTTTTGAAAATTTTAATTAAATTATTTTTGAAGAATTTCTTTGAATTTTTTTTAAATAATAGAACTTCTTTAATTTTTAATAATTTTAATTAAAAATTTTGAAAATAATTAAATTCTTTTAAAAAATTTGTTTTGAAAATAATTGATTTTTTGCAAAAATTTTATAACGATTTAAGAAAAAAATTGAATTGTTTCGTGAAATTTTACATTTTTTTTTGAAAATAATTGAATTTTTGCAAAGATTTGATAACTACTTAAGAACCAAATTGAATATTTTCATGAAATTTTACATTTTTTTTTTTAGAAAATAATTGAATTTTTGCAAAGATTTTATAACGAATTAAGAAAAAAAAATTGAATTCTTTCGTGGAATTTTTTTTTTGAAAATAATTGAATTTGTGCAAAGATTTTATTATTTTTGAGAATAATTTAATTGTTTTGAAGGTTTAATTATTTTCGAAAGTAATTAAATTCTTTTTTATTTTATAAGAAGAAAAAAAATTTATTAAAATTTTTAGAATTAATAAACAAGAATAATTAATAATAATAATTAATAATTAATCATTCAACCAATTAGTAAATTAGTTAATAATTGAATTTTTTTAAAGTTTAAATTATTATTATAATTATTATCTTTATTATTATTACTTATAATTACTTTTTTTATTATTAATAATAATTAATTCATCTTATTTATTAAAAATTCCTTAAAGCTCACGCCAAAGTTCAAAACATTCGTTTATTATTAATTATATTACTTATGTTAATTATTAATTAATTAATTAATTATTTAATTTAAATAACTTTTAAATTATAACATTTTTTAGATGAAGAACTACCTGTTGTATTGTGGGTATTTAATTACGAGGCAAAATGTATTTTAAATAATGTCCACCGCTGTAGAGCGCTGCGATCGTAAAGACGATTCGATAGGTCGATTTCGATATATCGAACAACTTCGAGAATTTTCACTGCGCTCTTAGCCAATCAGAAGGAAGCAAGGAAAGGACATAAAGAGGGGAGAGTTGGCGCGTAAATCAGTATCGCAGTGGCCCTCGAAGTAGTTTGTTGTTAAAAAGTGTTGCAAAAAAATTAACAATCGGACCGTGAAATCGTGAATTTTATTTATTAATTATTCTCTTCTGTTTATTTATTATACGATAGTTTCTTATTTCATGAAAATTTGTTTAATTTTTGTACTTTTGATCGGAGTGATCACTTGGTGAAGAAATTGTTAAACCAAGATGGCCGTCCTGTCATTGTTGTAGACACACAGTGTCGTTCATGATTTTCTTCAAGTTGTTAACTATTTATTAACTAATTCTATATTTCGTAAATTGACGCGTTATTAAAGTAAAGTATTTTAATTCTCGAAAGTATTGAATTCGTCTTTGATTAAAAATTTAGTCTTTTGTGTTTAGCGAGTTCATTGCGGCAATTCGTTGTGTACCACGTGCCTAGTGCGGTTGTTGTTGTTTTCTTTCGACAAAGTGGATTTTTTGTCTGCATTTCTCGTATAAATTTCTTTAACGAAGTCTAAATGTAGTATTCTTTAATAGTGTTCTTTTTTCTAATGAAAATAATAAGTGTTGTGACTGTGTTCCTTGAAAAAAAAAGAATCGGAATAAGTTTAGCAGCTCTCAGTGTCGATGCAGTTTACGGTAATGTTTACATTTGAAAGATTTTTACCCTCCCGTTAGAATATTAAATTAATTGAATAATTTTCGTGTGAATAAGTAAAGAAATTATTTGTTTCGATAAATTAATTTTATTTGTTGCTCATTGAGGTTATGTATTTTAATTTTGCAGTCAAATACTCTTTATTATTATTTAATCGAATCGACGGACAAATTACGACGAGCAAATTTATAGTTGTCGGATTAAATGTTTATTGTCTCATTGAATTGACATTTAACCTAAAAATTTTCTATTTAGAGAAAATAATAATTTTTTCGAATTGTAAATTGAATGTTATTCTAATAAAATGGAAATATTTTTTTTTTATTTTTGCTTCCTCATGAGGAAGATTTCTTTTTGGAAATATTTACATTTATTTTACAAGCGCTTGTGTCATCTTTCTTCTACAAAATTATTTACCATTTATGCCGAAAGATTTTTAAATCAATTGAATAGAAGCGTTATTTTTAAGATTATTTTTTTTAAACATGAATCTTTGTCATTTTCTAATATTTTCTTTTTTTTGCAATGTTTCAGGAGGAGTACTAATTACTAAAGGTAAAAATGTCCATCAGTCATCGCAGACATTACAACAACGAGGTTAGAACCAGCAACCGATGAGTCAATTTTTTATTTCTTTTATGATTTAATTTTAATAATAACAGTGACGCCATTAAAAAAAACTCAACGATTTTGGTATTCAGGAATTTTCAAATTTATACAAGAAATTAATAATTTTTTCAATGTCGCTTAGAATTTAGGTTTATTATAAAAAAGGGTTTAAAGAAATAAGATTTTTTTGAGGACTCTTGTTTTTGTCGATAATAGATTACTATTTTTAATTTATTTAAAAACTAATTTTTAATTACCACAAAAATTTTTTTTTTCATTTTGAATATCGAATACAAACTTCTGAATACAATTTAGCAATTTCTAAACTCAATTTGAAATTTTTTAACGGAATTTTATTTATTTTGGAACTCGAATATAATTTTTAAACTCAATTTTTAATTATTGAACAATTTTATAAATTTTTAAAATTCAAAAATTAATTTTCCGTCATTTGAAATTAATTTTTCAATACCATTTTTTTTTTGTTTATTTATTCATTTATTTATAAATACAATTTCATAATTTTTGAACTCAATTGCAAATTTTTAAACACGTTTTTATATTTTTTAACAACGATTTCATAATTTTTTAGTTCACTTTTCAATAATAAAAGACAAATTTTTAATTTCGAAAACTATTTTTTAATTATCAAAACACTTGTTAATTTCTGAATATTATTTTATAATTTTTAATCGCAATTTGTGATTTTTAATAACAATTTTTTAATATTTAATGGAAGATGATTTTCCAATTTTATAATTTATGTACTAATTTTCATAAACGATTTTTCAATTTTTAACAATTGTTTTCTATGTTTTAAAATTGAGTTTTTTTTTATAACAAATTTTTAACTAATGTTTTCAAAATTTATTTAAAGTTATTTAAAAACAATTTTTTATTCATTATTTAATCACAGTTTTCTAATCCTTATAAATATTTATTATTATTGCAAATAATTTTCCAATTTTTCAAGACGATTTAATAATTATTAAAACTGATTTTCTAGTTAGAAATAATTTTCTAAAAAATTGTTTTAATTTTGAAAAATCGAACTATAAACTTGAAATAAAACTTGAAATATTCACTACATAACACAAAAATTAATAAATAATAATAATAAAAATAATTAAATTATAATTAATAATTATCATTAATTATCATTAATTATCAGTAATTATCATTACCTTATTAATTAAATATTTAAATTAGAAGAATTTATTTTTAAACAATTATTATAAGTAATTTAGCGCCCAAAATTTTAGTCCTCCTTTTTTTTTGAAAATTTTGATAAAATACATTTCTCTGTTATCTTCAGTGTAAATACCACATGAGTACAGGTATTTAACTGAAGAGGCACTCGTGTCGTTTCGATTTTTATGACATTTTTTTCCCCTCAAGAATGTCGGACTCGTGAACTCCAGACATCACGCGGACTTTCTTTGATATCAAAAAATTCGACATTTTTTCACGCCCTTGTGTTTTTCTTTTCTCGCGAATAACCAAAAAAACGGTAAATTAAAAAAATTCTTTAAAAAGTCAAAAGGGAAAAAGAAGTCGAACAAAATATGGCTAGTAACGGAAAAACGAATGACTGTTCAATTCTCTCAAAACTTGGTCTCAAACCACTTACAAAATGTAACCTCGTGAAATTTTATGTTCCAATTGCTGGTGCCGCTTCACATACCGCAATGTCTGTTAGTGTTATGAATCCAAGTTTAGCTGCAAGGTAAGTTTTATTTATTTTATCACCTAATAAATTATCTGATGCAATGATAGTCATTCATTACTTTTTTTTCTATTCTTTTTTTTTTCCCTGTTCTTCCTCTAAGTTTTGTGTTATTACGTAATTTGGAATTTTATCACTTAACCGCTAAAAGTTTTACAAATTAATGACGATTTCCTAATTAAATATGTATTTTGAAAGAAGAAAATTATCATTCATTTATTTTCTTATCGTTTGACAATTTTCCTACACTGTAAATATCGGAAATTTGATTTTAATTAGAGAGCGAAAATAGTACTTTTTACTTTATATCCTTGAATTTCGATCGATATTTCGATTCTTTTTATTTTTGTATTATTCTAATAGTTTTCTAAATGAAAATAAAAAATTACATTGTTGGAAATTTCGTATAAGTTGTAAAAGAAAAATGTAGAAAATTGTCTAAAACTCGAAAAATGAGTATTAATACTAGTAATAAATAAATAAATAAATAATATAAAAAAGCGAAGGAAAATTCATTGAGGAAAATTGAAATGCAATTATAATTCTACGTCAGTTCTGTTTAGATGTCATCCATCATGATAAAGTTTATTATAACAGAAACAGATCATAACGAGAAATCTAAGTAGAAAAAAACGTGATAAGTCAATATTAGAGAAAATAACAATATTTGAATTAAGATGATGAAAGTCTTTCGTTTTAAGTGAAATATTTTCATGATTTTCAAAATTTTAATAGGAAAGCAAAAAAAGGGAAATTTATGAATATTTAATTAATTTATTTTTTGCAGAATATCACCAAAGTGGGATGTAACAAATGCTCTACTTGTTGCCACTCTTGTTGGAACAGGTACTTACATTTATACAAGAAAGCACTTGCAAAATGCTCCTGCTTGCTCAAGAATCTGCTACAGGTATGAATTATTATAAAAATTAAAAATTTATTTGCAAATTTATTTATCAATTTCTTTATAATTTCTTTATCAATTTATTTATTATTTCTTTATAATTTCTTTATCAATTTATTCATAATTAATTTACAAATATATTTGTAATTATAAAACAACAAAAAAACAAAATTTCTTCGCAATAATTCAATTATTTTTAGTACAATTCTAATGAAATTCCTCGAAAAATGTAATTATTTTTAAAAGTTTTATTGAAATTCGTCAAGTGAATTTATTCAATTATTTTCAAAAAATTTTAATAAAACTCTTGGAAAAATTTCAATTATTTTCAAAAATTTTTCTCAATTCAATGATTTTCAATATTCATTATTTTAATAAAATTTTCCAAAAGAATTCAATTATTTTAAAAAATGTTGATAAAATTCTTCGCAAAAATTAAATTATGTATTTTTAAAATTAATAAACATTTCACAAGAATTTAATTAATAAAATTTTTTTTGAATTTCTTCGCAATAATTTAATTATTTTCTTAATAAATAAAAATATTTTTAAGGAATTTAATTATTTTTATAAACAATAAAAAAGTCATCGCAGAATTACAATTATTTTTAAAAAATTTATTCAAATTATTCGAAATAATTGAATTGTTCCTTTAAATTTTCATAAAATTCTTCAAAGAAATTCAAATATTTACAAAAATTTTAATAAAATCCCCCACAAGTTTCAATTATTTTTATAAATAATAAAATTTTTTCCAGGAATTCAATTATTTAAAAAAATTGAATAAAATTCTTTGCAGAAATTTAATTATTTTCATAAATAATAAAATTCTTTTTAGGAATTCAATTATTTTCATAAATAATAAAATTATTTTTACCAATTCAATTACTTTCATAAATAATCGCAGAATTTCAATTATTTTCAATACAATTTTAATTAAATTATTCGAAATAATTGAATTGTTCCTTTAAATTTTCATAACATTCTTTAAAAAAATCAAATATTTACAAAAATTTTAATAAAATCCTTTACAAAAATTCATTTTTTTAGAAAAATTTTATAAAATTCTTTTGGAGAAATTTAATTATTTTCGTAAGTAATAAAATTGTTTTTAGAAATTGGATGATTTTCATAAATAATCGTAGAATTTCAATTATTTTCAATACAATTTTAAATAAATTCCCAGAATAATTAAATATTAAAAACATTACAGTGTGAATTTTTAGAAATAATTGATTTTTGGAAAGGTTTAAAATTAAATTTTTTGAAAATTTGCATTTTTAATACTTTTAACTAACAATTCTGTAGAATTAATTTTTTTGGAAAAGTTTAATTACACTTTTTTTAAAAATTATTTGAAGTTTTTATTTTTTAACATATTTTTAATTGAAGAATTTCCGAATTATTGAAATTTCACGTAAAATTGAATTGTAAACAAATAGATCAGGGTGTCTACTAACCGGGAAAACCGGGAAAACCGGGAATTAGCCGGGAAAAAAATAAAAACCGGGAATAACCGGGAAAACCGGGAAATATTCGGGAATTGAAATTTATTCGTAATAATTCAATAAATTTTTAGGAAAATTTTTTTTGACATTTGAAAGTAAAGACAGTGTTTACACAGAATTTTATTTGGATGAATTCATTTCAAATAAACCCGCGCTATTTCGACCATATTCAAGCATGCGCGAATTAAGCTGCTGCTATAATCTATACATACATATATATTCATGTTGAACCATGTGTGATTTGATAATGTAGTTGCAGGTGTCAAAATATTTTGTAAAAAAGTTGATTGTGTTGATTTACAATTCGGTAAGCTATTTTTTATAAATTCAAGTATTAGAAAACATACTGTGCTATAAATCTATCAGTTTTAATAATAGTATTTAAAAGTTTAAGCCAAATAGTGGGATTCATAGTCACATGTATCTTATTGGAATTTGAGGTTAGGTATTAAATTTCAACTAGCAAATAAATTCTTTATACAAAATTTATTTAAAAAAAGTTTTTAGTAATTAACTTGTTATTTTTATACTATTATTGAAACGATGGATTCTTTAAAAAATAATGTTTTTATTGAACTTGTTATTTACGTAGCCCGGTAAGAAGCGTTTAATCCGTTTAATAGTGATAAACTGTTTAATTTTCTGCAGGTACATATGTATTTATTTTTGTAAATTTTTATTTTCTTAAATCTAATTCAAAACATTTTATGAAAATTTTACTTGAATTGAGTTTTCTCGATATTTGGTGGTTTTTGCTTAGAAAATTAGTGTGATATTGCGAAAAATGAACATGATTAAAAACGAGTATTTTTTAATCGATTTTCCTGAATTAATTTAAAATATTTTATATATCAAATCAATGGATTATTTTTATTTTAAAATGCTCAAATTAAAATTAATTGAAAATGTACCTAAATTTTTTTTTAATTAATCAAGTTTTAAAATAAACGTTTTTAAGGTTATTTTACCTTGACACTTGTTACATTCCTTGATTTGATAAATATTTTTTAATACTTTTTTTATTTTTTAATGTTGTTTCCAATCCAATAAGAGCTCTACTTTAATAAACTTTAACATTTACTTTCGTTTCTATTGTAAACTTATTACTTACCATAATATACTGTCAATTACAAGAAATAGATTTTTATAGTTTCTGAAAATAGAAAATTCAAGTCGTCTCGGATATTTTTGGATATTACAGTTCGATTAATCCGTTCTTACCGGGTGCAGTAATTAATTAGCCGAAATTCTTTATATTAAATTTTAGTCGATGTACATTAGTTTTTTTTTAATTTTTAGCTTTAATTTCTAACGGTCTACAATGAGTCGAAGTCAGACGGTGTTTCAAGCAACTTGGAAAGTTGAATTTCCATGGGTAGAGCAAGATAAACGACCATTTTATGCTCTTTGCACTATGTGCAATAAATCATTTACATTTGAATCAATGGGTCGCTCAGCTTTAACCAGTCATACGAAAAGTAAAAAACATAAAGATTTAATGGATATTGCTAGGAAAACAGTGCCTATTTCAAATTCAGTGGTAACAAAACCATCAGAACCATCATCTCAGACCAGTTCTTCTATTTCGTTAAATAATCGTTTATCACAACATTTACTTGATTCACATCTCACAAAAGATACTGTGACTGAAGCTGAAATCTTATGGTGCATTGAAACGGTGATGACACACACGTCTTTGCGATCTGCTGAAAGTAACGTACTTCTTTTTAAACGAATGTTTCCGGACAGTGAAATTGCCAAAAGTCTTAAATTGCACAAAGATAAAGTATCGTATGGTGTTGCTTTCGGCATTGCTCCATATTTCCAAAAGGAATTGGTCAACAAATTGAAAAATCGTGAATTTTTAGTAATCGGCTTTGATGAATCTCTGAATAAAGTCGCACAAAAAAATCAAATGGATTTGAATATTCGTTTTTGGGATGTCGATAAAAATCAGGTTTCTTGTCGCTATTTAACATCTGTTTTTCTTCACCATACAACAGCAGAGGATCTTCTTGATGGACTAAAATTTGGTCTAAGTGAAATTGACCTTCAAAAAATCTTACAAATTTCTATGGATGGACCTCATGTTAACTGGAAACTGATTCGTTTATTTAACTCGGAATTACGTTTACCTCCTGATTCACCAAAGTTACTGGAACTAGGCTCGTGTGGACTCCACGGCGTTAATGGAGCTTTTAAAACAGGTATTAAGAAAACTGAATGGAACTTAGATGCATTTTTAAGAGCGTCCTATAATTTGTTTAAACAAGTACCTGCCCGTCGCGGAGATTTTGTCAAAATAACTGGCTGCAAAGAATTTCCTTTAAAATTTTGTCAAGTTCGTTGGACAGAAAATTCTAAAGTTGCACGACGAATTGAAAATATTCTACCTCATCTGATTAAATATGTTGATCACGCAAAATCTACTAAAAAAGAACCTACGTGCAATAGTTTTACAATTGTTGCTGATGCATTAACTGATAAACTTTTGCCTGCAAAACTTTCATTTTTTCGATCTTTAGCTGAAGACTTAGAACCGTTTTTAACTGAATTTCAGTCAGATGCTCCATTAGCACCTTTTTTATTTGATAGTCTAACATTAATGCTAAAAAACTGCATGACAAGATTTGTAAAAGAGGATGTGATTCTAAAAACTCGACTGCACAAGATCGATGTTTTAAAGAAAACTGACGGTAAATATGAAAATCTAAAGTGGACGAAAGATGTTGATCTTGGTTATGCTACCTGTTATGCATTACAAAGGTGTGAAGGAACGAGCCCTAAGGAAATTCTTCTATTTAAACAAAATTGTAGAAACTGTCTGCAACATTTAGTAAACAAGTTGTTGGAGAGAACGCCTTTAAAATATCCTTTGACGGAAGCTTTAACTTGCTTAAATCCTCATAAAATTGCTTTTTGTGTAAAAGAAGCGAAAAAGCAACTACGTATTGCTTTAGATATTCTTTTAAAAGCGAATATTTTTTCTTCGGCACTAATTCAAAACGCAGATCGAGAATATAAAACTTTATTATCAGACCAATCAATCATTGAGCAAATGAAGCTTTACTGCAGAAACGATTCGCGTTTGGATGATTTTTGGATGCAAACACTTTCAATTCGACCAGACATTGAAACTAAAAGTCTGAAAGAAGTCTTAAAGACTTTTTTTATATTGTCGCACGGAAACGCAACTTTAGAAAGGGGATTTTCTGTGAATAAAGAGATGATCATTGAAAATTTAAAAGAAGAAACTCTTATTGCGCATCGAATCATTTATGATTCGGTAACAAGTTCAGGAGGTCTTACCAACATAATCATAACAAAATCATTAATTCATTCAATGAGGAATGCTCACGGAAAATGGCAGGATGCTTTAGAAAAGCATAGGAAGGATAGACTTGAAGAAGAAAAAGCTAAAGAGAACCAAAGAAAAATGGAAAAGGATATAAAAGAATTAAACAGTAAAAAAGCAAAGCTGTTGTCAGAAACTGCACTAAAAGTTGCTAACATTGACGAAACTTTAAAAAGTTTGCGGAAAAAATAACTCTTCTAGTCTTGAAGTTAATTTATAAAGCTTATATTATATTAACTTAAAATACTATTATATTTTATACCTCGTTCAAATTGAAGTTAATACATGTTTATAAACTACTACTCTTTAAGAAATGAAAATATATAATTATTTATGCGTATTTTAAATATAAATTATGGTTGCTATGTGATAAATGTACAAATTAAGTTGGTTTTATATTTCACAAAGACTCTACTGTTTCCATGTTATAAGAGGTAGCATATTGAAAACATTGCAATTGTTTAATCGTTTAATTAAAAGTATTTTCATGGTTGTGAACTTTTTAAATAAATTTACTTTTAAATTTTTTAAATTTTATGAATATATACCTACATGCATTAATTTATAACATTAAACTACAAAGGTAGGTTGCCAAAATAGACTAGAATTTGTTATTCATGCTTTTTAAAAAAAGAAAATTTAATATTTTCAACCGGAAAAAACCGGGAAAAACCGGGAAAAAACCGGGAAATGACCGGGAATTTGGCAAGCAAAATTTAGTAGACACCCTGTAGATTTGAAAATTTTCAAAGAACTTTTTCAAGAATCATTAAAAATAATTGATAATTGATTTAAAGAAGAATTTTAGTTATAAAAATTCTAGAAAATAATAATTCAATTGAAATGATGAAAATAATTTTAAAGAAGTTAGAGTAACAATATTCTTATAATTTAAGATAATGATTACAAAACATGAAGAAATCAATCGCTCCGAGTCGAAGACTCGTAGTTATTGATTTCTTCGCATTTTGTAATTTTAATATTCTTATGAGTTGTTGAATTTCAAAAAGGTTTGAATTTAAAATTTTTCTGATAGTCAATTAACGTAAAAGAATGAATTTTTGTTTTGCAAAAATAAAGAAATTATTTAATTTTGGAAAATATTTAAAATTTTAGTATTTTTAGTGACAATTTTATAATAATTAAACCGTTTTTCTTTTTTTTTTAGTGCAACTGGAGCCATTCTGTTAAGCTTTGGATCAGTTTTAGCTTGCGCGATACTGCGTTCAATTACACCTCCAAATCCCACAACGTGCACAATTTTGGGCCTGGGCACTTCAATTCTTTTGATTAAAATTGGTTCAAGCTATCTGCAACATGTAGATGAGAATGTCAAATAAATTGGATAGATCATCGAAGTTACGATAATTTTTTTTTTTTTTTAAATTTTTGTTAATGTTATTACCAAAAAAAAAAGAAAAAAATGTGTCATCAAGAAAAAAAGAACGATTAAAGAATTTCAACTCTTTGTTCAATTTCTTTTTTTCTTCTTGACAAAAATCATCTCGTAAAACTGGTTACACAAATTTCTTATATAAATCTCACCAAAAAAAAAAGAAAACAAAAATTTTTCGATTAATTTTTTTTTCCAGTTAGTACACTGAGAGACGCTTTTACTAATGAAATTAGTGTATAGAAATGATTGATAATCAAATAAAGTAGAATTGTTTCTTGTATCTAGAATCGCTGGGACGAGAAATATACAATAAAGAATATTGTGAAAAAAGTTCGCGATTTGGATATAAAATAATTATTATAATCACGTAAAAAATATATTATAAATACTGTGTGGATGCTGTCGTAGGCGCAACACAAACAAAAAATTACATTCGAATCACGTGATAATATAATACGTCATATTTTATATTATATTTTGAGAGAAGATTCTTTTTTTTCTCCTTTTCTCATTATATTATGACACTTTCTTCGAAATAAAATAATCACTGAAATATTGTTCGAAAATACTTTGATTATTTCTATTACCCTTTTTTTTTGTTTAAATTATTTATTTACTGATTTATATTTTTTAAAAGTATTTGTTTTTAAAGAAATTATATTTAACGCAAAAAGAAATTAAAATTTTCGTTTCGATTATTATTTCGCATTTTATTGCCCGTGCTTTTTAAATAAAAATGATTCAACTATTCAATTATTTTTATAAATAAAAAAATATTCACAGGAATTCAATTATTTAAAACAGAATTTTCCTAATATTTTTCAAAAAAAATCAATTATTTAAATAGATTTTTGTAAAATACTTCGCAAGAATTCAATTATTTTTATAAATAATAAAATTGTCAGGAATTCAATTATTTTTTAAAATTTTAATAATAATCGTTGCAAGAATTCAATTATTTTTGTAAATAATAAATTTCTTCTTAGGAATTCAATTATTTTTTAAAATAATAAAATTCTTCTCAGAAATTCAATTATTTTTGTAAATATTAAAACTCATCGCAGGATTTAAATTATTTTTAATACAATCTTTAATAAATTCCGCAAAAAATTGAACTATTCTTAAAAATTTTAATGAAATTCTTTGAAAGAATTCAATTATTTAAAAAAATTTATTAAAGTTCGGTGACAAATATTCAATTATTTTCATAAATAATATAATTTTTTACCGGGCTTAAATTATTTTCATAAATAATTGCAGAATTTCAATTATTTTTAAAACAATTTTAATGAAATTATTAGAAACACTTGAATTTTTCCCCTCAATTTTCATAAAATTCTTTAAAAAAATTCAAATACTTCGAAAATTTTAATAAAATCCTTCACAAGAATTAAATTATTGTTATAAACAAAAAATTTTTCCAAAGAATTCAATTATTTAACAAGATTTAATCAAATTCTTTCCAGAAATTTAATTATTTTCATAAATAATGGCAGAATTTCATTTTTTTTAAATACAATTTTAATGAAATTATTATAGAAATAATTGAATTTACCCTTTCAAGTTTTATAAAATTCTTTTAAAAAATTCAAATACTAAGAAAATTTTAATAAAATCCTTCACAAGAATTCAATTATTTTTATAAATAATAAAATTTTTGCCAAGAATTCAATTATTTAAAAAAATTTAATAAAATTCTTTGCAGAAATTTAATTATTTTCATAAATAACAAAATTCTTTTTAGAAATTCAATTATTTTCATAATTAATCACAGAATTTCAATTATTTTTAATACAGTTTTAATTGGATTCGTCAAAAAATGTAATTATTTTTAAAAATTTTATTGAAATTCATCAAGAAAATCAAATACAAAAATTTGAATAAAATTCTTTAAAAAAATTCAACTATTTTTATAGTTAATAAAATTTTTCACATGAATTCAATTATTTAAAACAGAATTTACCTAATATTTAAAAAAAAAAATCAATTGTTTAAATTGATTTTTTATAAAATTCTTCGCAAAAATTAAATTATTTTTATAAATTTAATAAAATTGTTCTCGGGAATTCAATTATTTTTAGTACAATTTTAATATCGTTGCAAGAAATCAATTATTTTCATAAATAATAAAATTCATCGCAGGCTTTAAATTATTTTTAATACAATTTTAAATGAATTCTGCGAAAAATTCAACTATTCTTAAAAATTTTAATAAAATTCTTTGAAAGAATTCAATTATTTAAAAAAAATAATATTGAAATTCTTCATAATAATTGAATTTTTTTAAATATAATTTTAATAAATTTTTTTGTAAGAATTCAATTATTTTCATAAGTAATAAAATTCATCGCAGGATTTCAATTATTTTTAATATAATTTTAAATTAATTCCGCTAAAAACGCAATTATTCTTAAAAATTTGAATAAAATTCTTCGAAAAAATTCAATTATTTTCAAAAAATTTGATATATATTTTTTTTAAATGTAATAATTATTTTCAATTCATTTTTATTTACATTTATTGAATGAATTTAATTATTACCAAAAATTGTTATCCAATTCTTCGTAGAAATTCAATTATTTTAAAAAATGTTAATAATATTTTTTATAAGAATTTAAATTCAAGAAATTTTTGCAATTATTCAATAAATTTATTTTTGTATTTAAATAATTGAATTCTCGTAGAAATTTTTACTAAGAATTGATTTAAAAATTATAATTGTATAAAATAAATTGATTAAAGTTTTGAATAATTTTATTTAGAAAATTTCAAGAAAATAATGATTGAATTTTGAAAGAATTACTTTTGTAATTTTTAGAAATAGTTAAATTTCAAAAATGCGTTACATACATTGAAATCATTTGAAATCATTTAAAATACTTTAATTCCTGTAGACAAAATAAATAGGTATTTAAATATTTTTTTAAAATTATTCCATTTTTGAATGTAATTAAGAAATTATAAAAAAATTGAGTCGATAGTTTTATTTTTCGACAGCTACTTTTTTACTACTTTTTTCTGTCTCTAAGGTGCTTTTTTAAAATTAATTATCGAGTACGATGTCTGGAACGTTCAAATGAAGGAAATTTATTTATTTCTCTATCAAATTAAATTTTTATTACTATAATTTTGCGTCACTGTCAAAAAAATTAATTATAAAGTTTCTCAATGTAAAATTTACGTTTTTTATTGTTTTTTATTGCAATCAGTAATTTATGAAAATATTTTTGATAGAAAATATTTTGTTTATTTAAACGTTGCAATCACGTTTTGGATCACAAAAATAATAAAATACAGTAAAGACACTTATTTTTGAGTAAAAAGATTTTTTATTATTATAAACAATCTTAAAATATACTATATTAACATTTATTATTAATCTTATAATGAAACTCCTCAAAATATAATTTAATTGAAAAACAAAATTTTGTTTGCAATATTGTCACGACAAGTAGAAAATGAAAAAAAGGGCCTGTAATCCAAAAATATACTTTTTCAGTTATTAAATTCTTTTTTGAAAAATTTAAATTATTTTTTCACAAAAATATGTATATTTTGAAAAAAAATTGAGTATTTTTCTCCCTTCTTCTTGTCGTAAAATATATATTTAAACTCGGTTCACATTAAAAATCTTTACAAATTATTTATATAAATAGCTCATCTCGTACGTTTTTTTTTCTCTGGAGATCCATTTGGTTTGATGAGAGAGAGATAGAGAGTGACAAGAGTCATTGTATATATAACTTTCTGTTTGCTAAAAATTCGCTTATGAATTATGTACAAAAGGCGCTTGTGCGTTAATATATCGCATTAACAATCACTGTTTTCTTAAAACTGAAAAGTTTAGTGTACATTTTATAAAAAAACATTTGCATTATATTATGTAAATTAATATTATGGATATTCTGTTTTTTTCGATTCGAAATGAAACTCGTTTTGGATTATTCCAGTTTTAGATGAATTTGTATATATATAATCCAATTTTGTAATTTTTAGAATTGGTTTTCTTTTGTGTTTGAAGAAAAAAAAATGAACTTATTTCTAATAATATAAATTCAAGCTGTAATTTTTTCTTTAAATTTCAGTGATTGTCACTATCACTAGTTTAGTCTTAAATCACAGCTTAGAATATACAATTAATTGAAATCCTCATTTTTTCCTGCTGTTTGTTGTGCATAATGCGCGAGCAGGTACTGAGTGATTTTGAAGGAGATTTTAAATTAAGTCTTTGAATATTTCACTTTGGCGATGTTTCCCTACGAAATAATGGGAATTGATTTTGTTGTTGTCGTCTCCAAAATCTTTTTTGTTGATGTTGATAAAGCTTTTGTAACAGCGTCTGCTACTGAACCCGATACCCTCTCAATTATGGGTTCTGTAAATTAAAGGAAAATTTTTAATTTAGTTAAAGTTAAAATTACATTTTTAGAATTTTTTAATATTATTTAATTATTTCAAAAATTTTAATGTAATTATCTTGATAAATAATAAAATTCTTCACAAGAATTCAATTACTTTTAGGAATTTAAAGAAAAAATCTTTGCAAAATTCAATTATTTTTATAAATAAGAATATTCTTCACAAGAATTCAATTACTTTTAGGAATTAAAAAAAAAATCTTTGCAAAATTCAATTATTCTTATAAATAACAATATTCTTCACAAGAATTCAATTATTTTCAAAAGTATTTTTATTTTATAAAAATTATTTCTTTGCAAAATTCAATTATTCTTATAAATAACAATATTCTTCACAAGAATTCAATTATTTTCAAAAGTATTTTTATTTTATAAAAATTATTAAATTAAAATTAATTAATTATTTAATTATTAAATTATTCTCCGAAATTCAATTATTTTCTAATTTTTTTTAATTTTCGTCAAAATTTCAATTATTTTTATAAATAATAAAATTATTTTTCGAAATTCAATTATTTTTAAATATTTTTGTTTAATTTTCATCAAAATTTCAATTATTTTTTTAAATAATAATTTTCTTTTTAGGAATTCAATTATTTTCATGAATTAATCAAACTCATCGCAGAATTTCAATTATTTTCAAATATTAATACAATTCGTCGAATGAATTAAATTTTAAGGAACATTCAATTATTCAATAAATTATTTATTTTTGTATTTAAATAATTGAATTTTCGTAGAATTTTCTAATAAAAATTGATTTAAAAAATAATTGCAGAATTTCAATTATTTTTAGTTCAAATTTAATCGAATTCCTCGAAAAATGTAATGATTCTTAAAATTTTTATTAAAATTGGTCAAATTTATTCAATTATTTAAAAATTTGTAGATAAAATTAAATTATTTTCAAAAGTAATAAAATTCTTGTCAAAAATTAAATTATTTTACAAATTTTCAATAAATTTCTTTAAAATAATTCAATTATTTTCATAAATTATATATAATTTTCATAAATAATAAAATTCAATTATTTTCATAAATAATCGCAGAATTAAAATAATCCTCGAAAACTGTAATTATTCTTCAAACTTTTATTAAAATTCATCAAAAGAATTCAATTATTAAAAAATTTGTTGATAAAATTCTTTATTAGATTACAATTTTAAGAAACCAATAAATTATTTATTTTTGTATTTAAATAATTGAATTCTCGTAGTATTTTCCAATAAAAATTAATTTTAAAATGAATTTCAGTTAAAATTTTATAAATAATTTTGAATAAAATTGAAAATAATTGAATATTAAAAGCATTTTTATATTGTGAATTTTTTAGAAATAATTGATTTTTGGAAAGGTTTTAATTTAAAATTTTTGAAAATTTGAATTTTTCATTCTTTTAACTAACAATTCTGTAGAATTAATTTTTTTTGAAAAAGTTTAATTAAATTTTTTAAAAATTTATTTGAATTTTTCATTCTTTTAACTAACAATTCTGTAGAATTAAGTTTTTTGAAAAAGTTTAATTAAATTTTTTAAAAATTTGTTTGAAGTTTTTGTTTTCTAGCATATTTATTGAAATTGAAGAATTTTCTCGAATTATTGAAAATCTTAATTGCAATGGAAAAATAATAATTAAATAATTATGCTAAATAAAAAAATTGTTTTCGAAGAATTTTACAATTAAAAAAACTCGTAATTAAATATTTTAGAATATTATTTTTAGAGTGAATCAGAATTTTTTTAGTGTCAGGGAAAAAGTCAAAAATTCTGTCCAAAAATCATAAAAAAGTCAGGGAAAAACAAAGTTAAATTTTTGTGGCAAGTCTGTTTAAGAATCAATTTTAAATTAAAATTTTTTTTTTAATTTTTACTCAATCAATTTTAAAGTTCTTGAAGTTGACTTACTAATCACATCATGATGCTCATCATTCTCGTGTTCGTGATCGTGACCTTTGCCCTCCTCTTCGTGATGGTCCTGTCCGTGCGAGTGACCATGTGAATGCGAATGAGCCACTGTAATGCAAAAAGGAACCATAAGAGACTCTTTCTTTAATTACTTCTTTGTTTTCTTATCTAATTTGAATAATAAAATCATTTCCCACACTCTGAATTTGATTCAACAATTTTCATCGTAATTGATATCAATCAAGTATACTGAATTTTTTTTTTATGTCCCGAATGTACAAATAAACATTTTGCATTAATTTTAAGGAAACTTTTAACCTTTAGAAGGGCCGGTTAATTTGCATAAATTTTAGTAGTTTTTTAATTAAAAAAAAATTTAATAAGAAATAAATAAATAAGAAATCAATTCGATTAAAAGATTCGTGAAAATAAATGGTGGTCAGTATAGTGGCCAGCCCGGCCCTCTAAAGGTTAAGGATGACTTTTTAGTATATTTTACTAATTCGGATTAGGACTGTTTATTTAAATTAGATGACTTTACTAATTTGTTAGTATAAAGTAACTTTGGAGTTTTATAAATAGTCATTCCGGCATTAAGCTAAAAATAAAAATTAATTTTCTCATATTCGTTGAATATCTTGAATTGAAGTTTTAATGCTTGTTTCACTTGTTACAAAAGAGGCTATAATATATGCATATATGGGCATCTTATGAGTGACATAACGCATGAGCATAAAAATTATCAATGGAAAACTTATGTCCTTAGAGTTAGTGTACAATTTCATAGTGAATAGATAAATAGTTATTTATTGTTACAAAGTTTCCGCATTTGCCACCTACACAATAGGCTTTTATATACGATAACTTGATTTTTGTTGTTCGATTGTATTTTCTTTTATTTCTTTTTACACTCTGTTATACTTTTACAAGTAATTTTACTCGATTTTACCAGATTTTTTAAAAATTTTAATTAATTCTTAATTTTTTAATTTAATTTTTAATTTTTCTAAACTGTAAAAAAGAAATCTTACTTTCAGTCCGTTTTTGACTAAAATCGTTTAGGATAATAGAAATATTTTTTAGACTGAATCTTAGCAGAAAAGTCCTAAAGTTATGACCTAATGCATAGTTTTAAATTTAAAAATTATAGCTATAGTACTTTTGAATCATATTTTGGTTTTAGTCACGGTTTTTAAGGTTTCTGTGCGTAAATCGTACTAATTGATATAAAAATGTAGGAAATTGTGATCTTAATTTTTGTATTAATTATATGATGTTTAATTTATTTTTTTTCCACTCGTATTGAACCGAAACATATAATATATTCCCTTAGGGTTCTCAGTGGGTAATTCATTCAAAAATAATCCGCACGTTTATTCCCTCAAGGGTCATCAAGTTTAATTAACACATTCGGTATTTTTGGAAATGGAATCCTCTCACGTTATCGGAAAGTGAAATATTCCTCTGTTATTTCTTTGTATTCGGAGGGAAAAAAATTGTGGCAAAGTTTTATTATTTAAATTCCTAATTGTGCGAAAACTGTTTCATGCTTGATAATAAAAATTTTGCTTTTCCAAGGCTTTGTACTCGATAATTAATTTTAAAAAAGTAACAAAAAGTAGCTTAAAAACAGAAGAAGGTATAGTAAAAAAGTAGCTATTGAAAAATTAAACTTGACGACTCAATTTTTTTTCATAATTTCTTAATTACATTCAAAAATGGAATAATTTAAAGAAAAAATATTTTTTTCATGAAATTTATAAATGAAATTATTCAAAACTTTAATCATTTTATTTTATTCAATTCTAATTTTTAAATCAATTCTTATTAGAAAGTTCTAAATAGAATTCAATTATTTAAATAAAAAACTAAATAATTTATTGAATAATTAAATATTTCTTAAATTTCAATTCTTATAAATAACTTTATCAACATTATTTAAAATAATTAAATTTTTACGAAGAATTGCATTAAAATTTTTTATAACAATGAAATTCATTCAAGAAATGTAATTAAAAATGAATTGAAAATAATTATTACACTCTAAGAAATAAATTATATGAAATTTTTTTAAATAATTGAATTTTTTCGAAGAATTTTATTCAAATTTTTAAGAATAATTGCATTTTTAGCGGACTTAAATTAAAATAATTGAAATTCTGCGATGAGTTTTATTATTTATGAAAATAATTGAATTCTTTCCAAAAAAATTTATTAAAATTATATTGAAAACAATTCAATTATTATGAAAAATTTCATTAATATTTTTTTGAATAATTGAATTATTTCAAAGAATTTAAAAAAATTTTTAAGAATAGTTGAATTTTTTGCGGATTTTATTTAAAATTGTATTAAAAATAATTGAAATTCTGTGGTTATTTATGAAAATAATTGAATTTTTGCGAAGAATTTTATCAGCATTTTTTTTAAATAATTGAATTCTTTTGGAAAATTTTTATTAAAATAGTAGATCTTGAAAATCATTGAATTGAGGAAAATTTTTGAAAGTAATTGAAATTTTTACAACAATTTTTTTAAAATTTTTGTAAATAATTGAATTTCGGAAAAGAAATTTATTATTAATCAAGATAATTAAAATTTTGACGAGAATTTTATTACTTTTGAAAATAATTGAATTTTATCAACAAATTTTTAAATAATTGAATACTGGAGACGAATTTTAATAAAATTTTTAAGAATAATTACATTCTTTGAGAAATTCGATTAAAATATTGTATTAAAACTTAAAAGTAATTGAAATTTTGCAATGACTTTTAATATTTATATTCTAAAAGGAATTTTAATTATTAAGCAAATAATTAAATTATTGCAAAGAAATTAAAAAAAATTTATTGATTGAATTCCTGTGAAATTTTTATTATTTATGAAAATAATTGAATTTTTGTCGCAGAACTTTAATAAAGCTTTGAAAATAACTGCATTCTTGAGAAGAATTTTAAAAAAATCGTTTTAAGGAAACGATTTTTTCCAAAAATTTTATGAAAATTGTGTCTTAAATAATTAAATTTTTTTGAAAATTGTATTTATGAAAATAATTGAATTCCTGAGAAGAATTTTATTATTCATGAAAATAAATGAATTCCTGAGAAGAATTTTATTATTTATAAAAATAATTGAATTCTTGCGAAATTTGAATTTTATAAAAATCTATTTAAATTATTTTTCTTCTGAAAAATATTAGGAAAATTCTGTTTTAACTTTTAAATAATTGAATTCATGTTAAAATTATTTTAACTTTTAAATAATTGAATTCATGTTAAAATTATTTTATTTATGAAAATAATTGAATGTTTGCGAACAATTTTATAAACAATTTTTTTAAATTATTCAATTCTTTTGGGAAATTGTTTATTAAAATAGTAGACATTAAAAATCATTGAACTACGGAAAATTTGTGAAAATAATTGAATCGTTAAAGAATTTTATTAAAATTTTTTGAATTTGTTCCAATAACTTTATTAAAATTTTTGAAAATAATTTTTTTATTTCAACTGTTGACAAATTTAATGTAAATAGTATGTAAATAGTTGGTTTTAGTAGATGAGTGCGAGGCCTGTTTTCCAAATATTTAGTTCGGATAACAAAGTTCTTGTTATTTTTTTTTCTTTTGTCCATCGTAGAAACAACAGAACCGTTTGGTTGAGTACTGCGGACCAAATTTTGAATAGGTATAAATTCTTTTTTTTTGGGTTAAGACCTGAATATTTTTTGGGTTTTTGTTTTATTTTTCAACAGATGTTAAGAGTAAGCTTGCTCAAACCAGTAACTAGTTAGACGAGCCGGTGTGTAAAAAGGTTGTAGAAATATTTTTCGTTGTAGGCTCAGTGAGAGTCTATGGCAGTGAATAATGTATACCTATCTTAACAAGTTGATAATTCTCGATTTATGCTTGATTAAATTCTTTAGGCATAGGTTAAAGAAATTGGAACGTAATAGTCGAAAGATGTTGAGAAAGCCGTCGAAAGTCGGTCGTTTGGTCCAACGACCCTCAACCCGGGTCATCGTCACGAGAGAAGAAAGCTTACATGTAGATAACTAGATCTTTTCAATCATTACACGTATTATTCTCTGTCATATATATACGTTCCTCATGTATATCTATATGTTGCTTCAGCTCTGCATCATTCGATTACAGAATGTTAAGCAAAAAAAGAACCATATTCCTTTTCACTTGTCATCGCTCGATTTCTCGTTTTACCTTCTGCATCCCAACAACACTCGATTTCGAAAAGCAATTGGAAATTCCATTCTAATACTAATCTAATACTGTTCTGATTCTCTTTTAATTATGTTCTCATTCTGTTCTGATTCTCTTTTAATTATGTTCTCATTCTGTTCTGATTCTATTCTGATTCTGTTTTCATTCTGTTCTTATTCTGTTCTGATTCTGTTCTCATTCTGTTCTAATTCTGTTCTCATTCTGTTCTGATTCTGTTCTGATTCTAATTTTGTCCTAATTGTGTTCTAATTCTGTTCTGATTCTGTTCTCATTCTGTTCTGATTTTAATTTTGTCCTAATTGTGTTCTAATTCTAGTTATTATTTATTTTTGAGAAAAAAAAATGATTAAATATTTATTTTACATAAAAACTATAATGAAAATTAATTTTTCGTATAAATAGAGCTGATGAGCGTGTGAAAATATTAAACACTGCAATTATGTTCTTCCGAAGAAAGAAGGTATTGTAGAATTAAGTAATAAATCGTATGTAAATTTCTCACGTGAGCATAACAGTTGAAATTGAATGTTTATCTTTTTTTTTTGTTTTACGTAACTATATTAACGATCGGTGTCGTTCAACTTTAATTTTCTTCACCGGTATTTACACATTTGCCTGAAGTAATAATAATAATATTGCAGTTTATTACAAGGTATGCGTTCCTAATGGAATATTTTATTGTTTCGCTCGATTATTCACTTTTGTTGTTTGTTTGTTTTTTTTCTTATTATACACGGAAAAAAAGTATCTGCAAGTTACAGATAATTTAAATTACACTAAAATATATTAGTGGAATTTTCATTTGATTTAGTTAAGATTCGCTATTCTATGAATTTTCAGTTATTAAGATTCGCTATTTTAGAAAAAC